GCCCTGATAGGTAAACTGCATCTGGATTAGAAGGAACTATCCTTGAACTATGAATCCCTGATGGGGAGACATTGGCTGTGCTTTCCTGAGCCCACAGCTCTTACAACCAGGCATGTCATCTATGAGGAGTCAGGAAGCTATGCTTATGGAGTTGTAAGAGATACTGGTTTCTGTGGAGATGTGACCTTTCAGCTGGTGTGTCTACACCCACTTGCATTCACCTGACTGAATCTTTTCTCCTTGATTCTGAGACATCATCTAAGGAGGCCCAAGAAAACAGCTAATGTTTGGCTGTGTAAACTTCTGCCAGACTGCTACAAGGATTCTCAAAGAAAAAGAAATTTTGACCCTGTCCTGCTGTTAAATTCTCATCCCTGTGCTATATCCTGCTGAGGACATTGGTACCAAGAAAGATCTGCGGTGCTTTTGGAGCCTGAATGTTTCATTACACCTCAGTCTCCCTAGTTAATCTTGCAGACCTATCTATTAATTCTGTAAAGTATGTTCATTGATTTTCTAATGTTAAATCAACCATACATCCTTGGGATAAGCCCAGCTTGATTATAATCTGCTTCGTTTGCTGAATTTTGTTTGACAATATTTTGTTTAGAGTTTTTGCACCTATGTGTTCATAGGTGGAAGCAGGCGGACTGGAGATTTTCCTGGTTGCTACTGTCTGCTAAAGTTTTGGTATTAAAGTTATATTAATCTCATAAAAAGAATTGCTGAGTGGTCCTTCTTTATGTATACTCTGGAATAGTTTATGTTAGATTGATAGTATTTACCACTTAAATGTTTGGTAGGCCTTCCAATTAAAACTATCTAGACCTGGAGCTTTATTTGAAGAAATATTTTAAGCTACTGATTAAATGTCTTTAATGGTTATAGGACTATTTAGGTATTCTTTTTCTACTTGAGTCTGTGTTATGTTCTCAATGCCCACCTTCACCTTCACCCCTAGGAATTTGTCCACTGTATCTAGTTTTCAAATCTATGAGCATAAAGCGGTTCACAGTATCTTATTACCTTTTAAGATTCTGAAAAATCTGCAGTAAGGTCCTCTTTCAACACTAAATTGGTTTACTTACCCGTTTTTACTTCTTTTCTTGCTTAATCTGGTCAGAGTTTTGTCAATTATATTAATCATTTTAAAGAACCAATATTTGGCTTTCCTTTTTTTCTATTATTTAAGATTATAATTTTATTCAATTTTTGCTCTATGTGATTTTCTCCTACCTTTGAAAAGTTTGTTTCCCTTTTACTAAATTCCCAATTTGTATCATTCACAAATTAATTTCCACCCTTTCTTTTATAATGTAAACATGTAAAGTTATAAATTTTAAAGCGTTGTTTAAGTTGCATTTCACACATTTTAAAATGCAGTTTTTCTATTGTTCAGCTTTTAATATTTTGTTTTCCATTATGGTTTCTTTTTTATTGTGAATTGAAAGTACATTTCTTAATTTCTAATTTTTTTCTTTTTTATGATTGTTTACTTTTTGTTATTAATTTCTAGTTGTTTAATGTTTTTGGAGAAATGTATCTGTTTGATACTAGTTGTTTGAAATTTGTTGGAATTTGCTTCATAGTGCAGTGAGTGGGTAAGTTTTGAAACTGTTCCATTAAGAGCTCAAAATAAATGTGTCCTTGGTTCTGTTCTATATGTGTGTGTTAGGTACATCTAGCTAACTGTGTGGTTCAACACTTCTACAATTTTAATGTTTTGTCTTTTAAATCTGTCAATTATTGAGATAAATATGTTAAAACCTCCCATTATGATGATAAACTTGTCCATTTCTGTTTATACTATCTCGGATTTAGTTATATATTTTGAAGGATGTTATTAGCTGTGTGCAAATTTAGAATTGTTATATCTCCTTGTAACTCTCTTCTGGAGTAATGCCTTGAGGTATTTTTTTCTAGTATTAATAAAACCATAACATTTTGGTTTTGGTTAATGTTTGCCTGGTAAACCATATTTATCTTTTTCTATCCTTTTCCTCTTAACTTTTCTGTGTTCTCATGTTTTAGATGTCTCTTTCAAATAGCACGTAGTTGTATATTTTTTTCTAAGCCAGCCTGACCATTTTGACTTATACCTTTCAGTATTTAGTTTAGCTGTTTATTGAAATTATTAATATGTTTGTATTTTTACCTTATTTTGTTGTATTTTTCCTGGTTTCACTTTCTTTAATTTATTCTTTTTTTCCCCTGCTGGTTTTAAATGTTGATGTTGTATTTATATTACCCTAGATAAATTAATGTAAATACTTAAGTTATCAAAGTCCTAAGTTAGTACTTTTATCTTTCTCTCTCTCAGTGTGAGGTCTTTAGAATACTTAGGCCAAATATTTTTAAAAAATGTTTGCTTCCTAATTGAATTCATTTTAATTGCAAATTTTTTTGCTTGTATTTATATAAAAATACATAATTTCAAGCCCCCACTCACCTGAATTCATGGATTCAAGCAAAAGGTGTTTCTGATTAATATTACTTAACTCACATTAGAACTTTCTGATTAGTGGCTGTTTAATTATAGGGCTTTTCTTTAAGGGAGTTTTTTTTTTTGTCATTAGTTGATATCATTTAAATAGTCCAGAAGGAAATGGGAGACTGGTAGCAGTATTCTATTAACACATGAAAGAGAAGAAGGTAAATGTCTTCCAATTAAGGTTAACTTGCAAGTAAATAAATGACAGAATTTAAGACATGGGAATTTGGCAAGATTCTTACATGTTTGCTACAGGAATTCAAAGGATGAAAATCAAGCTAGCGAGATGCTCTGAAACACTGAGATTTATAATTTTGAAATGTTTTGTGATATGTTAGTATGGTCACCTATTCATTCTTCATGTGTATTTGATTCCCCAAGTATAAAGACTTAAAAACAAAACCTTATCAACTATTCTTGAAAAATAAGCAACTCATAAAATAGAAAATAGTATGAGATCCCAGAAGTTATGTAGTCGAACTCCCTCAAATTATATAACTAAGAAAACTAAACCTTAGTCAAAATCAAGGTGTCTTAGTCTGTTCTGTGCTGTTATAACAGATTATCTGAGACTGGGTAATTTATTAAGAACAAATATTTATTTCTTCCAGTTCTGGAGGCTGGTAAGTCCAAAGTCAAGGGCCTGCATCTGGTGAGGGCCTTCTCCCAGCATTACCCCATGGCACAAGGCAGAAAGGCAAGAGAGCACATGAACACATGTGCATGCCCAAACCAGAAAGAGAAGGATGGAGGGGGGACACAGGGGGCAAATTCATCCTTTTCCCAAGAATCCATTTGCACCATAACTAACCCACTGCCATGATAATGGCGTGAATCCACTGGTGAGGGCTCTGCCTCATAAAAGAGCCCACCTCTCAACACTGTGGAATTGAGGATTTACTTTCCAACACATTAAGTTGGGAGGACACTTTCAAACCATAGAAAAATGATTTTATAAACAGGAAAGAAGTTACAAAGTGGTTGTTATTCTAGAAAGAGCAGCTTCACTATTCAGCTTATGTTTTGAATAACTGAAGTAAAAGACAAAGCAGTGCCATACACTGCTAACTGAATCCTCTAAACAGCTGTAAAATACTGTGTTGGAGACATCAAGAGTGCGAATAGTTTAGATTACTCCTCTCAGTTTTTACCCCATATGACTAAAGCCCCCACTCACCTGAAGAAATCTTTCTGCTGCTCATGCAGGAGGTAAGATAACTGCCAGCATCCTGGTTGTAATTCACCAATAGGAGATTCTATTCAGAAAGGGAAAATACTGAGATCGTTAGGAGTCCCTCCTAAGTCCCGGAACGCATATCCTTGAAGGGAAGCAACTTGCCTTGAGAAAGCTGGAATCAACGAGGAGTCCATAGTTAGGTCCTGGCTGGGTGCAGCTGGTCTGTGAAGTTCAGCTGGCTAAGAGAACTTTCTTAAAAGCTGGCACTGGCCAGGGAAGCCAGTCACCCGCCATCATCAGAGTCTTCTAGTTCATCCACTTCCTCAGATGCAGAATTCCCTGGTACTGATGGCATCTCAGTGGGAAAGTATGTAAGTGGTTTCTGACCTGCCAGCCAGCCCAGTTTTGTTGCTTCCTTATGCTCACCCAGCGGCCATAACAGAGGGAATGTTCCTATTGAACTTCTATTTTGCCACCCTTTAAATGTCGGGTCATCCTAGGGCCGGAAGTTATTGTTTTCCTCTAAGAGTATTTTCTCTTATTTCTACCACTTTGCTTCTACTGTGGAAGTTTGTGACCCGTATCTTTTTTCATCCCTAATGTTCTTTCAGCCTTCTTTGGATAGGGATGGCTGTCCGCTCTTCCACAGCCCCCGGCTGAAAACCTCTTACAGGGCTGGTTGCTGCACTCACACAGCTGTGCCTTAAGCAGCTCTGTGTGAATGATGGTCCTTTTGCTGTTCTTCCACTAATGAGTGAAAATAGATTTCTCAAAGGCTCTTAGCTGCCTGATCCAGGTAACAGGATGAACAGGGAAGGAGTGTCAAGCTCACTTCTAATTTCAAGTTCTATAAAATGACCAGTTATATAGGCTAGTATTTACTAGCCTAAGTACTAGTATTTAGTACTTAACTCTTCAAATCAGGATAAGAGGGTTTTCCTCTGGGAGTAGGGAAGGCTCTTGTAGTGGCAGTGAGGGCACAGGGTTTGGAATTACGACTCTTTAGCCTGATTGTTTTGTCTCTTAGGAGACGTGTGTTCTGGCAAGTCACTAAACACACCTGAGCTTCCGTTTCAATTACAAAATGAGAGAGTGTGGACTAGGTCCCTGAGAGATTTTATTCTAGCACTCACATTCTGTTTCTGCAGCGAGAAGAATTGATATTTCTCTATTCATTTAGAGACTGAAATTCTTGGAATGCTCTTTTAGCAAACCGTAAATTGATACAAAGGCAATCTTATGCGTAAATAACAATATTCTTATTGCTAAAAGGGAATATTCCTTGTACGATGTTCCACTATCATAAAAAGAAGCTTCGTGGCTGTTCTGTAATCCTTTAAAAATATTTTATTAAGCATTGATTTAGAAAACGCAAGACAAGATTGTAACACCTCAGGGCAAAGGCTTGAAGGTAAAACAGATATCACTATAAATATTGCACTTCTAAAATCTCTTTCTGACATCTTCACACAACTCAGTTCTAAAATATCCTTTTACAGAGATGTATAAATAAACTGCTTCCAAGCTGTCAACGCTTGACACTTTCAGCTTCCTCTTAGCACACTCAGTCGGCAGGTTTCCAGTCAGATAGCTGCTCCTCTCAGAGCAGGAAAGAACTTCCCTCAGCTATCTCGGAGGCCTCAGACCTCCAACAGAGTGAAGAGTCAACAGTCCCATCTTTTGGAATGCTCTTTCAGAATATGTGATTTTATAAGTATTTTTTTTTTCTACTGAGAGAAAATAGATCTTTCAAAAGCAATGGCAGGATACAGCTTAAATGGACACAGTTCACTGTTAACATTGCTTGTTTTTTAAGGCATTCAGGAGCTTCTGATTCTTGGTCTTAAACATCATGATAAAGCTGTTTGGCATGATTCTGCCTTGCCCATCTTCACCTACTTGGCCCATAATAATGTAATTTAGACCTATAGAAAGAGAATATAAAAATTAATCTATGTGTGATATATGAAACAACTTCGACAATAACTTACCTCTAGATAAATGGTCTCTTCTGCAAATGATATGATTATAGATGTATCCCATCTAGTATAAAATCTGGATTTTCTTGTTTTTGCTTTTTAGAGATGAAGGTCTTGCTTTGTTGCCCAAGCTGGTCTTGAACTTCTGAACTTAAGCAATCCTCCTGCCTCAGACTCTAAAGTAGCTGGGACTACAGCCTCATGCCACTGTGCCCAGATGGTAAACTCTCGTTTAAGACTCTCATCAGCAGCCGGTTGTGGTGATTCACGCCTGTAATCCCAGCACTTTGGGAGGCCGAGGTGGGTGGATCACCTGAGGTCAGGAGTTTGAGACCAGCCTGACCACCGTGATAAAACCCCATCGCTACTAAAAATATAAAAATGAGCTGGGTGTGGTGGTGGGTGCCTGTAATCCCAGCTACTCAGAAGGCTGAGGCAAGAGAATCACTTGAACCCGGGAGATGGAGGTTGCAGTGAGCCAAGGTCACACCACTGCACTCCAGCCTGGGCGACAAGAGTGAAACTCCATGTCAAAAAAAAAAAAAAAAAAAAAAAGACTCTCATCAGTAAAAAGCCAAATTCAACTAGTAAGGTATTTCAGCTACACTAACACCAGGAAGCTGGACTGAGTGGTTAGATCTAGCCATGCCCCACCCTGCAGTGCTGTGGGTCTGGTGTGGTTCCAAATGCCTGCTATGAAGAATGCACCATGTTAACATGGTGACTCTCCCTCCTCAAGGGGCCTCCAGGGCTCCATGATGAGCCATCCTCAGATGGCTTCTCATTTCTATCATGTGTCTGGATTTTCTTGGCATTTGGCAACTAATGATCCACTCTCTTGATGTTGTTGTCTTGAACTTTAATCAACATCGCAAACATGTATGCTATGTAAGCTGCTTGAGGGCACAGATGGATCATATACTACTTTCATTTGCACAGTTTCTTGCAAAACATGGATGTCAAGAGCACTTATACTGGTTATACTAATGTTTTTGTACCTTAATGTGTCTGGCTAAGTTAGGCCTACACTAGGGCCTGAGTTGAGGTATTGGGTAACTGTGCATATTTGTATTACCTCAGAAATAGATCAGAAAAAAGGTATGTGTTAATTCCTCCTTTCCCCTGGTGTGTCATAGAGAAAATGTGTCCTTTGTCTCTTGAATCTTCCTGTATGTTTGACCTGAGATTCTGGGCAGGCATGCTGCCTCAAGGCTGAAGTGCTAGCAGCATTATGAGACCTTAAAAAATCTCAAGGTGGATCATCTGCTGCTTCTGGCAGTTCTAGAAAGAAATGTTACTCTTTTACAGAGCTTTTGTGATTCTCTCCAGAGAGTCAACATGAGGCTACTAGCCTCCTGACTCTTCTGAACAATTTGAATTCACAGTAAAGCTTGCTTTATTTTTCATTTTTTTTCTTTATTTATACACTCTTGCTGTCACACAGGCTGAAGTGCAGTGGTGTGACCATGGCTCATTGCAGCCCTGACCTCCTAGGCTCAAGGCATCCTACCACCTTAGCCTCATGAGTAGCTGGGACCTCAGGTGTGCACCACCACAGCCAGCTAAGTATTTTGATTTTTAGTAGAGAGGAGGTGTCACTGTGTTGCCCAGGGTAGTCTTGAACTCTTGGGCTGAAGCAGGTCCTCCTGTCTCAGCCTCCTAAAGTGCTGGGACAGTAAAGCTTTCTTGAAGTGGATATTCTGTATCTGTCTCTCTCTCTCTCTCTCTCTCTCTGTGTGTGTGTGTGTGTGTGTGGTTTGATTTGCTTTTCTTGTTGGAGAGGTTCATAACAAGACTAAAGAAAGAAATGAGCTGAGGTTGTCACACAGGCTGAAGTGCAGTGGTGTGACCATGAGGTTGAACTGAGAAATCATAGTGTATCACATAGTGGAATGCCAGGCATGATATCATTCTGTCTATCGCTGCTGTTAGGAAAGATGTGTAAGCTAATGGAGGGGAAACTGTAGAACTCGTGTGTAGTGTGATTCCCTAAGTGTATATGCCCATGCTTTATATGGATAAAAACTTTTTGGAAGGAACTTAAAGAATTTTTTTTTTTGTAGAAATATGGTCTCACTATATCACACAGTCTAGTCTCGAACTTGTGAGCTCAAGCAATCCTCCCACTTCAGCCTCCCAAAGTGCTGGGATTACAGGCATGAGCCACCATGTCCAGCTGGAAGAACTTTTTGAGTACTTATAGGGAAAGGAAAAGGGTTTCACTTCTAAACATACTCTTACCTACTTAAACTTTTTTAAAACCGTGAAACATATGTTACTTTTATAAGTTAATTGTTAAAGACATCTTCTTAAAAAGTCATGTGCCTCTAGCTCTGGAGGAACTTTCTGTTTTTCATCATTTCTTTCAATAAACTTATTCCTATCCATGGACTTAATAGTCCTATTTCTGCAAACTATTCCCAGATCTTTGATTCTAGCCCAGATATACCTCCCTCTTCTGAACTTTGGGTCTGCATTTCCTGCTGGTTGCTGGATATTTTTCTTTAAACCCAGACAGTACTGGCACCTTAAGTGCACTCATCTAGAATCTCCCTCCCCTACACTACTCTCTGTGTGTCCTGTTGCCTACTGACTCAATTTCAAATGCTTCTTTCACTTGTTCATGATGTCACTACCCCTTCTTCTGCCGAAAGGAACAAGGACTTGAATGAGAGCCCAGTTCTGCCTGACTGCAAAGGCCTTCCTGCTCTGCAAGAAGTGGGCAACATATTAGCCCTGATTTTACTTCCCTAGACCAACCACAGTGTGGAAAATCCATGGTTTGCCCAGAGAGACCCAGTTTTCTCCTTACTCACCTCTTCTGAGGAGAGGGCACTGCTTGCAGACCACAATGAGCCTGGCACTCATGTTCTTGCCTGCCTGCTGAATTGCCAAATTTCCCTCTTTGTAGATGTTGATGATCGAGACTGTGGTGTGCAAACTCCCACCGCGAGTGACGGCTGTGATAACAGTGCCAGCTAACACTGCAGAAGAAAACATTTTGAAGTGATGTGACAGTGAAGGCAATGGGAGCAGAATGAAAAGTTGCTATTCTTCTAAGTTTCTGATATGAAACATTTTAATGGTAAAGAAAAAAGTCCATAGAAGTTTCACATTTGCTTCTATACATTTGGCACCAAAATTTAGGTTGGAAAAAGGGTTCATGGAGCTGTAATGCTACCCTGGCTGTTGGAGATTGATAACTAGCAAAGAAGCCTAAAAACTTGCCACACTCTAGTCCACTGCCAAGGTTGAAACTCTTTAAAATGTGTTTGTTTGGTTTTTTTTTTTGGAGCTGGGCTCTCACTGTGTCGCCCAGGCTGGAGGGCAATGGCCCGATCTTGGCTCACTGCAAACTCCACCTCCTAGGTTCAAGCAATTCTCTGCCTCAGCCTCCCAAGTAGCTGGGATTACAGGTGCCCACCACCACACCCAGCTAATTTTTGGATTTTTAGTAGAGACGGGGCTTTACCATCTTGGCCAGGCTGGCCTTGAACTCCTGACCTCGTGATCCACCCACCTCGGCCTCCCAAAGGCACAGAAAAAGCAAGCAAAGCCTCTCTGGGGAAGTTTGGTCTGGGCCATAGCAACTTGCTCTTCCTGATCAGATTTTTCTTAAAATGTTCTCTTTAAGCCACTTAAAAATAACCAAGATAATTAAAATTCATATCTTTTGCACTTAAGTAGTTTTCATAGATGGTGCAATTTTTCAGTTGGAAAAAGCTCTTAAAAATTCTAAATCATTAAAGATACCTCCTCAGGTTCCAGTTCGTAAAAGTTTCCAAAGGGTATTCAGATTTTCAACTTTTACTTCAGTACTTTGGAAAGGAAGTACAGGGGAAATACTTTAATTTCTTCTGAAAGAGGCCAGCTTCTGAATATAAGCATGGGTATGTTTCTAATTTACTTAAGTTGAATTATAGATGTGTGAAAAAATACTCTGTAATTGAAAAGTATGTAAGGAAAAAAGTATATAGGTTTTTTTTTGAGAATAGTAAGCCAGAATACACAGTGTAGCAGTACCATGTACCAAGAGTCAAATTATTAAGCTTATATGAAAAAAGGTATATATTCCAAATCCATATTTTTCTCAGTTGTGAAATGTAACAATTTCAACATTCTTGTCTATGGGCAAGTATCTTCTTGGATAAATGAGCAGCGTTACTGACCCTTCACCATAAATTCATAGGAATTCCTTTGAGATTAAGCATGCAGCCTCGTTTCTGGTTACAGAGAAAAAGACTGGTTTTTATTTCTTACCAAAGTCACTTGAACAATAATTGCTCTCCAGAGTCCCCGTCCGTCTACACTTTTGTTGACACAGGGCCACGGTGGGTTTTAAACCTTCATTCAAAGAAGATGTCAGTTTCAGGAAAAATGAATTCAAGCATAATTAGTCTTTAGCTCTGAGCTACCCATTTAAAATTTTCACTGATTTCCCTGAGCTACCAATCTATCACTGCAAAGAAAAAAATTAAAACCATGCAAAATAAATTATCCATGCTACCAACTCCTGCCCTACTTTCATGAGGGCAACTCAACACCCTCTACTGAACTTTAAACCTGAGATCAAAGATAGTACAAATTTAGCCCTGTTCTCTTCTTCCTTTATATGAAACTAACACTATAAGAAAATATAGACATACTCTGAATGTGTGCCCTGTTTAGAAAAAACCCAGAAAAACAAATTAGAACTCACAGAATGTAGGTTAATCCCTCACTTTACAAAGGAATCCTAGAATGTTCCCCTGAAGACATCCTTAAAATATGCAATTGCCTAAATATGAGTAGTATAGGTTTTTAGAAATACTGTTCATGTGTAAAATGTGTTATATTTGTAATTATATGCAACCAATCACTAAATATTTATTTTGAGCCTGGCACTGGCTACCAGGATCTTAAGAACTAAGAAGTAGATAAATTTAAAAGTAAACCAAATAGACAAAACACAGCAGTTCTTAAGGATGGCTAATGTTGCCCCCTAGCAGGCATTTGGCATTATCTAGAAACATTTCTGGTTATCACAACTAGAGCGTGCTGCAAGCATCTAGTGGGGAGATGCCAGAGACACTGCTGAACATCCTGCAGAGAACAGGACGGTCCCCACAACACAAAGTGATCTGGCCCAAAACAGAAATAGTGCCAAGGCTGACAAGGGTTAACAACGTGAAAATAGTTCATCCTTATAATCACTTAAAAATGTTTCAAAAATATTTGCTAATCATTTGTTTCTGTGTGACAATATGCTAGAAAGAACTAAACAGAACCACAGCAACAGAACTGACCTTGTTGGGTAAATATCTGCAACTGTAATATTGCTCTTCTAGCATGTGCCACCAACTCCTCTGTTAATTTATTATTTTACTTTTTTTTTGAGACAGAGTCTTGCTCTGTCGCCCAGGCTGGAGTGCAATGGCATGATCTTGGCTCACTGCAATCTCTACCTCCCAGGTTCAAGTGGTTCTCCTGCCTCAGCCTCCTGAGTATCTGGGATTACAGGCACCTGCCACCATGCCTGGCTAATTTTTGTATTTGTAGTAGAGACTTGGTTTCGCCATGTTGGCCAGGCTGGTCTCAAACTCCTGACCTCAGGTGATTAGCCTGCCTCGGCCTCCCAAAGTGCTAGGATTACAGGCGTGAGCCACCATGCCCGGCCTATTTACTTACTCTTAATCTGTACCCCCTACTTAACTCCAAAAAGAATCTGAAGCAGATGGCAATATTAAAACATATATAATTTAATGTTAAAATACATATAATAGCTTAAATATTTTTAAAAAGAGAGAAAGAGAGGTTAGAAAATGTTTGGAGGGAGACAGACATGGCATTGTTTCAAAAGTTGGGAACCTCACTTCAGCAGTAAATTAATGGAATTAAATTTACTCAATTAACTGAGTAAAAAAGTTGTGGTGTCTCTGATGGTGGGCACCCTTTTGCAGGCCCATCGGGAACCAGCTCCTCCTCGGCCTCGGAACGTCAGTCTGGAAGTAGGGTGGGTGTCCCATGTGCCCTTCTCCCACTTTGGTGGAGCCCTGCTCTCTGGCCTGCAAGTCCCTGGCTCTGTCCCTTCCCTCCTGATCTTACTGTCATCTCCTTGCCTTTCACTCACAGAGCTGCCCCCTGCTTCTTAGCCTTCCCCTCCTGTGTTCCCGCGATTGTTTCTGCGGGTCAGCCCTCCTACACATGATCCTGCAGGCCTGTGGCCTCATCTTCGCCAGGAACTTTCCCAGACACTCAGTCCCGGGCTTGGATGTCTTCATGCTATGGGTGTTCATTGCCAGTCTGTCAAATTTATACCCGTTGGTATCCAGGACAGCGTTCTCCCCTTCAAGCTTATTTATTTAATTACTCTAAGACTATGTCTTCTTCTATCTTTGAGGGTTCAATACATTGGCCACTTTCATTTTTCCCAACCCCTCAACCCTGGCCTGTTTTTAGTTTCTTAGCAATTCTATTTCATTTCCATGGTCCATTATTTCAATCACTTTCTAGACAATGCCATAAGGCCCTTCCCCTCGGTCCTTCAGGCCTGTATGAATCTGCAGGGAAATCCGTTTTTCCTGTGCCTGCCCTCAGACAACCGAGTACCAAATGGACCTTCAGAAGATTGACAGGTGGAGATCAGCCTACTCTCCGATTTCTGCAGCTGTTTTTCAAATTCTTTCTTAACCTCCTGACCTCCATTGCTGCCACTCCTTTCCCCCTCTCAGAGATGACTCTGCCTGTTTTCTAGGAAGAAGAGAAGCATAGCAGAAAATGTCCTTGATATCCCCACCAAACCTCCAAGATATCTTTATACTTCTCTCTTCTTTCCCTCCTCTCAGAGAGGGGTCGCCCTCTCTGGTCTGGAGCCATTCCTTCTGTGAGTCCTCTGGAGCCAGCCCCTCTCACCTTTACAGAAACTTTCCTTCTCAGTTCATTCCTTCTGTCTGTCACTGCTTTCTTCTTTGCTAGTTACTTTCACCAACATAAGCAGGTTCCAGACTCTCAAAGCCTCTCCTTCTTTAAGCCCAAACTTGGGGAGTGAGCTGCTGAACTTACTATCTCAATTTGCCGTGTTCCACACTCCCCTCAGCACTCACTGCCTGGGTTCTGCCCGCACAGCAATGCCCCTTACACAGATTGTGCTGGCCTCTCCAGTGGCCTCCATGTCATGAAACCAAATGAAAACATTGTAGTCCTCCCTTATTGGAAGTCTCATCAGCGCTTGACCCACCAATGCTCCCTTCTGAAACATGCCCTTCCAAGGCTTCCATGCCACATCCTCCCAGTTCTCCTTCCTTCTCCCTTGCCACTCCTTTTCAGTCTCCTTTGCCAGTGTAACCTTCTCTTTTAAATGCTGGAAGTTTCTAGAGGGTTAATCTTGGCTCCTCTCCTCCTCCTACTCTTAGTCTCTCTCTAGGAAATCTTGTTCTTGATCATGGTTTCAACTATCTATATATTGATGGCTCTTAAATTTAAATCTGGCTTAAGTTTCTCTTTTGGTCTGGAGACCCATGTACCCGTATGCATGGCATAACCACTGGGAAATCTCACAGACACCTCAAACCCAACAGGGCCACAGCCAGATTTATAAATCCACCTCCAAATCCAGTTCTCTACCTCAGTGAACAGTGGCAGTATCCCCACCCCCAGCTGTGCAAGCCCGAGACCTCAGAGGCATTCTTGACACCTCCCTGATCTCCCTAGTCCAATGAACCACCAAGGCCTGCCACTGTCTCCCTCCTGTCTCTTGACCGTCTCTGAATTTGTGCCATAGCACAGTTTACCTGGAGTGGCACAAGACCCTGACAAACTCCTGTATTCGTACGATTCATTCACCTCAAAGTGGCCACAGTGATCTCTGTAAAATGTGAACCAAATCCTGACCTTTGCTTAAACCCATCAACAGCTTCCCCCACACATAGGATAAAAACCAAAATACTTAAAGCACAGGAGAGAGTTGGCAGGGCCTGAAGATATGAAACTATAAAGAGAGGCTAGGGACAAAGTGTGAAGGGTCTAACATACCGGGGAAGGAGTTTGGGCACCCATGCCGTCCAATCTGGTAGTCACTAGTCACGTGAGGCTTTTCCATTTTCAATTAATTAAAAGCAAGCACCACCACGCCCAGCCATTAGCCACATTTTAAGTGCTCACGGTGGCTGCCATATTGGACAGCATGGCTCTAGACTATAAATTTAATGGGAGAACAACATGGTCTACTCAGTGTGGTGGGAGCGAGGTGGGGCATGAGGTTGGAAGAAACGATAAAGGATATCAAAGATGACCCCCTTAGTGAGGCTACTGAGGCTGTGGACATGCTTGGGAAGATAAGTGGAGAAGTAGGTTTGAGCCAGAAAATAGTGTGATAAAAACAAGTTTGTATATGCTTTCATTTAAATAGCTACAGCCACATTGTGTTCAGGAGATAATTGCACATCCATACTTGTGATTTCAGAGAAAGTTCAGGATGAAAATAAAAGCAGGGGAACCACTAGCTCAATAGGTGTGGCCAGATAAATTCACTGTTAAGAAGGACATCAAGGGTCAGTGAGCTGAGCTGGAGAAATATAGCAGTTACACGAGGCAGTACACATCCAGACCACACGGTGGCGCACTTGTGGAGTGGGAGGAAAAAGATCCAGAGGTAGCTGCCTGTACTCAGCGCCAGCCTGGGTGTACACGCAAAATGTGGCAATGAAGCTGGGCTAAAATAAGCCTGTTTTACATCTTAACCTTAAATCTTTCCTTCCTGCTTTTCCCCTCCTCCCTGGATTTGGATTTTAAAATCTGAGGCCTGAAATCCCAGTACCTGATGATAGAGCAGGCAGAGCTGCAGAGATCACTGCTGCCTCTCTACTCCTTACATCATGCCTCAGGCCCCAGGCCAGTTTCCCAACCGGCCTCTGTACTTCGTTGAATATTGTTGCTTAATTTACTCCAATTTGAAAAAGAAAAAAATCACTTTTTTATATGACATTTCACTGAGAAGCAAAAAAACAAAAACACACATTGGCAGACTATGAAAACGCTGATAGCAAGGCCCTAGAACTTTAACCTAAAATATCACAATTCTATATAATAAAAAGCAAACTATAATTCTGTCAGTTCCAGAAATGGAAACGTAGGCTTATAAAGATCTGTGCTTATAACAGACTTTCTAATCATTGTTCAATGGTCATACTTTTCTTACCTGATATTTAAAAATTACCCGCTACCTTTCTTTCATTAACGCAGTCATATTATTCTCTTACCAAAGCTTTCATCTCATTTAACTTTAATTTCAAGTATCTTCCTCTTATTTAATATTCTCTACTTTAAAAGAATTCTTCTTATACTCCTAAAGTTTTTGCACAAACTTCCAAACAGAGTAACTTACCCGTGGTGACAGGGACTGTGGTGGTGACAGGTTGTGCTGTAGTTGTAGGCAGTCTTTTTGGCCTGAATTTGTAGTGACCAATAAACCCATCTGCAGTTAAACTTAAGTCTGATAAAAACTGAATAAGAAGTTCATTTCTCTCAGATAGAATTGGCCTAAAAAAAGAAAAATGTGTTTTTAAATATACATGTAAATACTTAAAAGTGGTGCCTATTTGAAAATGTAAAATTTTCTGGTTTCCCATTAACTTCTGACAATAGATTACCGTTGTTTAAACTTAAAGCATTTAAAAATACCAATTCTAATAGCTCACATTTACTGTGTGCTCAGCCAGGCACTGTGCTTTATATGAACTGTCACAGTTCACCTTCACAACAACTCTATTTTTCTCTTTTTTATGGAGTAGGCAACTGAAGTTCAGAGAGTTCAAGTGATTTGCTCAAGGCCCTATAGCTAGTAGCTTGGGAAAGTCAGAACTTGAACCCAGGACCAGCCAACTCTAGAGACTGTGGCAGATGTTGGGACACGGCTGGTTTTCCAAAAGCACCTCATGGTTTGCCTGATTGGGAAAAGGCAGATTCTTTGAACTAAGACTCTTGAGTTCAAGCTGGCCTGGGTTTGCCACATGTTGGCTAAAGAGCATAAAATGGACAAATCTGGTGAAAAATTCCTACACCCTGTAAAGACACACCCAGAGGGGTGATCTCAGTGGGCTGATTATCTTTTCTATCCACTCTGGGCTAAGAAAGCCACGCAAAGGACTTCCATTTCATTTTCAATGGCAGTTCTTAGGCATACCTCAAATGGAAACATTTCTGTTATAATCTCCATTAGCAAAATGCTATAAAGGAAAAGAAAGTGATGAATCTGTTTTGGTGGGCAGGAGCCACATCATTGATTAGGAGCTCTAATTTTAGGAGCTTCCTGGTTAATTGGCACCAAAGATTTAGTGGAGATGATCACTGAGGCTCAAAAGCTCTCTTAAATCTTAGAGGATTTACTGTATTACACAAGATAGTTTCATTTAAGTTTTGCTATTCTTATTTACACAATAGTAAAAAAGAAAGCTGTCTGATTAATGCTGTTTAAAAACTAATGAAGAGATAGGAAAAAATTTAATAAGTTATTTAAACAAATTAGCCAGTGGTTTGACTGAACACCTTTTTTGAGACATCTTCTCAGCCAATCACTTCTTAAGCATCGTGGACAGCAAATAATAAGGCACCTCTTTTTGTTTATCTTCCTAGTGTCAGCGATGCTGAGTAGGGTTGGGTGGTAGAGAGGGTAAATCTACCTGACCCAACCAGGTAGAAAAACTGCATGATCTTTTCTGTCCTGAATATGACACCTTGAGCCAGGGGATAGAATGAATCAAAAAGTGACTTTGTGATCTACATTTGTAGTTTGTTATGGGTTGAATATTTGTCTCCTCCAAAACTCATGTTGAAATTTAATGCCCAGTGGGGCAGTATTGAGAAATGGAACCTTTAAGAGGTGACTGGGTCATGAGGGCTCTGCCCTCAAGAATGGATTCATCCTTTAATAGATTAATGGTTAAATGGGTTACTGGATTAATGAGTAATTATGGGAGTGGAATTGATGGATTTATAAGAAGAGAGACCTGAGTTAGCATGCTCTGCTCCCTCGCCATGTGATGCCCTGTGCCACCTGGGGACTTTGCAGAGTCCCCACCAAAAAGGCTCTCCCCAGGTATGCTCCCTTGACCTTGGGCTTCTCGGCCTCCATAACTGTAATAAAGAAATTATTTTTATTTATAAATTACTCAGTTTCAGGTATTCTGTTATAGGCAACACAAAACAGACAAAGACAGTTCCAGCCACAAAAGTGATCAGGTCATTTAAATAATGCTTCTGAGAGTCAAGCCTTTCACGACAAAATTACAAAAAGCACTTATAAGCAGCGAAGGAAGAAAAGACTCAATCAGGTCACCTTCTAAACATGATGTTATAATTATGTGATCATTCACTGCCTTTTCTATGAATTAACCTTGGGGTACTATATTGAAAACCGAATTTTCTCAAGGAAGAGTATTTTAGGAACAAAGATATATTTTTATTATGCTGCAACTGAGCTTTAGGATAAATGTGACAGAATCATAGTGCCACCAATGTACTGGGGGCCATGTTATGTCTGCAAATTAATGTTCTAAATCACTAGGAAGATAAGAGGAAATTTAACTTAGATCCACTCTGCATTGGCCAATCCCAAGAATGGACTGAGATGCTGTTTCATGTGGTATAGAGCCAGTTACTGTTATCTGTCTCTAGTTATCATTCCACATTCTTCCTGTCCTTCAGTCACTACAGCCAACCAAACACCATGTCCTGCCAGTTTTGCTTCGTAAATATTTCTTGATCCACATCCTCCTCTTCTCCACCATCCTTCTCCACCTCCTTGACTTTACCTGGACCACGGCAACAGCCTCCGAACTAGCCTCCCTGCTCACCTTGTCTAGGAAAGGGGTTCTAGAGCCTCTGGTCCTGTCACACCTGGCTTAAATTCAGTTGAGTGCTCCCATCTCTGCAGCACACAGAAGTCAACTCAACCCTCCTGCCTCATCCCTATGGAGGCCCCAACTCAAGGTTTTGGCTACAGAAATAACGTACATCTCTCTCGTGCATCTTATGGATTTACCTCTGCTTGGAATGAGCCTGTCCTCCCTTCTGTCTCTAACTAACTCCAACTCTTCCTTCAAGACTTAGCTTCGAGAGGCACGATCTCCTTTCAAAAGCTTCCCCTGATCACTTGTCCAGACTGGGCCAAAGAACTCAGAAACCCACCCAGAACATTCATTAACCAGTTAACTTGTCTGCCTTATTTCATTCCCTCCCAGTACTTACTTCTGTAGTTTTAATTTATCTTTGTATTCCAGGTGCCCAGCACATAGCCGGGGAGTAATCAATGTTTCTGAACGCAATTCAATGGCATTGATGCTACACTGAATCTAACACAAGTCTATCTATCCCCAGTGCTCCTCCTGTTCATATTTTTAACAGGGAAAAGCTCCTCAAACAGGTTTTCTCATTTTCTGCACTGCTCTAACCCAGAAGTAATCTAACTATGAGAAATATTCCTCTGGATAAAAGTGTTAGTCAGTGAGCTGGCAGCCAAGCTCTTCTAGTCAAACCCCTGGGAAATGAGTGACGCTCCACAGCCGCCAATAGTGCCGCCCCTCCTCCATGCTCACGGAGGCAGCCACTACCCTGAATTTTGTGCTTATCATTCTCTTGTTTTTAGCCATAGGTTTATCACACACATATGCATCATTATGCGATATACTGTATAGGTTTGAGTGTTTTTAAATGTCATAAATAAAGGTTACGGTGTACATTTTTCTTTTTTGTTTTATGTTGTGTGTTTTTTTTTTAAAGACATTTATTCAGTGTCATGACCAGACTATTACATTTAGCAATCAACAGCATGGGGGCAAAAAAAAAAATCTACATTAAAACCCTTTGTTGGAATGTTTTACACTTTCCACAGAACAGAAACTAAAATAACCTGTTATACAATGAGTCAGAAATACAGTCCTCGAGTTTTTTGCCCATACACCTGAGTATTTGTCTAAAACATGTCTTCTCTGTAGCAGCTAGGCCCTGCCACCACTGTGCTTGGCTGAGTTCACAAATCCGTTATAACCTGTAGCTTCCCTGTCACGTCTCTGGCTCTCCTCTCCTGATAAGCTTTGTTTCCTAATTAAAATCTGCCACTGCCATAGCTGCTGCTGCTACTAGAACAAGCATAGCCACCTTGGGTTAGTGGTCTGGCAAAGTATTGGCCTCCACCACCATAGGGGCCAGAGCTTCTGCCTCCAAAGTTTCCTCCCTTCATGGATCTAAAACTTGAAGACTGATTGTTGTAATTGCCAAAATCTTTGTAGCTTCCACCACCTCCAACACTGCTTCCATCATTACCAAATCCATTATAGCCATCCCCACTGCCACCATATCCACCACCGCCATGGCTGCCACCAAGGTAACCATGACCACTGAAGTTTTCTCCAAGACAAAAGTTGTCATTCCCACCAAAACCACCTCCACGTCCACCACCAAAGTTTCCAGAACCACTTCGACCTCTTTGGCTGGATGAAGCACTCGCCATCCCTTGGTTTGACAGGGCTTTCCTGACTTCACAGTTGTGGCCACTCACAGTATGGTGTTTCTTAATGACAGTCTTATCCATGGAGTCACGGTCATCAAAGGTTACAAAGGCAAAGCCCCTTTTCTTGCCACTGCCTCTGTCAGTCATGATTTCAATCACATCAACTTTTCTATACTGCTCAAAATAATCTCTTAGGTGATGTTCTTCAGTGTCTTCTTTAATGCCACCAACAAATTTTTTTTTCACAGTTAAGTGGGCACCTGGTCTTTGAGAATCTTCTCTTGAGACAGCTCTCTTTGGTTCCACAACTCTTCCATCCACCTCATGTGGCCTTGCATTCATGGCTGCATCCACCTCCTCCACAGTTGCATATGTGACGAACCCAAAGCCCCTGGAGCGCTTGGTGTTTGGATCACTCATTACCACACAGTCCGTGAGCGTTCCCCATTGCTCAAAATGGCTCCTCAGGCTCTCATCGGTTGTTCCAAAGCTCAACCTTCCAATGAAGAGGGTTCACTGAAGCTCAACCCTCCAATGAAGAGCTTCCTCAGCTGTTCAGGCTCTTTAGTAGACTCTAACTTAGACATGATTGCAGGGAGAAGAGAGATTTTAACAATGCTTCTTCGGCAGCATCCATGGGCAGAAAGCTTGTATTGTGTTTTTGAGACGAGGTCTCAGCTCACTGCAACTTCTGTCTTCCAGGTTCACTGGATCTTCCCACCTCAGCCTCCTGAGTAGTGGGGATTATAGGCAGACATGCCCTACCAGGCATCATTCATTGTTTTGTATTTTTAGAGACAGGGTTTTACCATGTTGCCCAGTCTGGTCTTGAACCTCTGAGCTCAAGTGATCCGCCCACCTTGGCCTCCCAAAGTGCTGGTATTATGCAAGTGAGCCACCACAACTGGCCTTTATTATTATTATTTTTTAACCTTCAACATTAGAACTGTGAGAATTATCCACTGTTTTCATTGCTAGGTAATGTGTACTATAACACAATTTATTCTCTTGTTGATAAACATTGGACTATTTACTTTCTCCCACCTTCATTACAAACCATATTGCTGAGAACATTCTTGTATATGTCTTTTGGTGCAAAAGTGGTCATACCAATTTACACACCTTTCAAAGGTTTATTCATTGTACAGCTTTCTTTTGGGAATGCCTTTTGATGTCTTTTATCCCCCTTTTTTTCCTACTGGATGGTTAGCTTTTCCTTATTAACTTTTAGGATTTCTTAATATATTCTGGAACCTAGGCCTTTGTCAAATATGTGTTACAAATATGTTTCCATTTGTGCCTTTTCCCTCTCTTTCAGGTACATTCTGATGAACAGGAATTCTCATCTAAGTTTCTCATTTAAGTTTCTAATCCACCTGTCATTGATTTTGTTGTGTGATATTAGCTATGAATATAATTCCATTTTTCCATATGAATAAAAATAGACTTGGCCCCATATATCAATGAAGCCATCCTTTTCCTGCTACCTGATGGTTCTCTGTGAAATGCCCAATCTGCAGATACATGTGGATATGTTTCTGGCCTCTTCTTGTTATTTAATTAGCCAGTCTTCCCATCTCTCTTTTAAAACCACACTGTCTTAATCACAACAGCTTTCTGATAAGGTTCCATACATGGTAAGGCAAGTCTTCCCGCCAGGTTCTTCTCCTTCAGAACTGTCTTACTTTTTTCGCCCCCTTCTTCCTATCCCCTTGCAATCCCATGTACATTTTAGAATTGGACTGCTAGGCTTAATGGAAAAATCAGTTTTAATACTTTTAAATGATATTAAGTCTTCCTATTCATGAGCATTGTACATAGCTCCATTCATTTAGGTCTTTTAAAATATATTTTAGTAAGGTTTTATAATTTTCCCTGTGAAGGCACATTTTTATACTTATCTTGAGCAATATTTTTATTGTTTTTAAAATAATATATTTTTCAAAATACAAACTTTTAAGTTCATGCTATTTAAGAAAATATATTTGTGAATAAAATGATGTTTCCAATAAATAATGTTAACTTCACAAGTCAAACTTTAATGTGTGACTGTGTAAGGTATAACATTAAATTAATAAAGTCTTTAAGTTCAAACCAACCTGGAATTCCTGGTCATAGTGTTTTTTATACATTGCTAAATTTGGCTTGCTACGTTTTTTGTTTCAGAATTTCTTTTTTATCATATTGATAAATGAAATTTGTCTCTAATATTCTTTTCTTGTACTGTCCTTATCTTGTTTTTGGTATCAAGTTTATACTAGCTTTAGAAAATTAGTTGTAGAACAATCCCTATTTTTCTCTGGGAGATTCTGTACAGTATCTGAAATATCTGTGCCTGAAATATTTGTCAGAACTTTTCCTTCCTTGATAGAAAAATTTTTAACTACCGATTAAATTTCTTTAGTGATCATTTGGCAAATACGGATTTTTCCTTCTCCTGTGTCCATTTTTGCTTGAAAAGAATATAGTTTCTCCAGTTGTTGGATGTAGTATTCTCTATTTGTCTATTAGACCAAGCCTGTTCATTGTTTTTCAAATATTCTACCTCCTAATTTCCCATCTTTCTGTCATTTAGTTAATCTGTTAATTATTGAAAGAGATGTGTTAAAAATCTCTAATTGTGAACTTTGTAGATCTGCCTTTTAAAATTTTTTTTGTTTCATATAATTTTATGTGCAAGTTCACAATTTTACAATTATTATACCTGCCTGATAAATTGCATCTTTATTGTTTATATAGCAACTATTTCTGGTAATGCTTTCTGCCTAAAATTGATTTTTTCCTGATATCAATGAAGCTACGCCAATTTTCCTTCAATTAGTGTTTGCTTCTAGTTGTTTTATATTTATTTGAATATGAATAAAAGAGAGACATGGAAGAAAAGCTGGAACAGGATAGAGAGTCAACAGAGTTTATAACTTTTGTTTTTTGTTTTTTTCTTAGTTTGGGAGAACTTAGGTTTATAGGCTATGGGGCAGGAATAAAAAGGAAGGTAGAGGCTAAATATGAAGAAAAAGAGGAATGTTATTCATGTAGGAAAGTTTCAAGGGAAAAAAGGAGGAGGTCCAAAGGAAGACATAGATGAATGTGTTGGCTTTCAAAAGGGTGTGGTGACCCCAACAAGGTCTACATCCTAATCCCTGGACCCTGTAAATATGTTACTTTATACGGCAAAGGGGTTTTGCAGATGTGATTCCGACTCCTCAGAAGGGGAGAGTGTCCTTTATTATTTAGGTAGGCCCTAAATGTAACCACAAGTGTCCTTATAAGAGGGAGATTTAACTAAGAGGAGGAGACAGAAGAAGCAATGCTTTGCCAATGAAGGAAGAGGGCTACAAGCCAAGGCATGCAGGCAGACTCTAGAAGCAGAAAAAGCCAAGGAGACGGATTTTCTCTCAGAGCTTTCAGAAGGAAACAGCCCTGCCAACACCTTGACTTTAGTCCAGTGACACTGACTTCAGACTTCTGGCTTCCTGAACTGTAACAGAATGCATTTGTGCTGTTTTAAGTCACTGCAGGTATGGCAATTTGTTACAGCAGCAATGGGAAAAGAATTTTCTAGGAACTTAGAAATAGGCCCTTCTCCAACATATTCATTTGTAAAGCCAAATTTGGGTATGGTGGATGCTTAAATTATAACTACTATCTTGTATGCATTAAAACATTCTTAATATTATCAACAAAAATATAAATGAATTGAAATAGAAAAATATCCTGCTTTAACTCAAATGTCTAAGAAAAATCACAGTAATGCATATAAAATCAAGTGATGCATATAATCTAATTATGTTTAAGCAACAGAGTAGAAAAGGGTATTTAAATTGGCAGAATGGTGACCTTGAAGGCAAGCTGCAGTAAATTCAACTGTTGCTTTTACTAATGTTGTATGTGAAGTTGTGAAATATCTTACACCAAAATATAGTTATTATTGCACCAGAATATAGCAGAATTAAGTAACTTGGGCAATATCACAGTTAATAATGTCACACAGTTAAGTGGTAGAACTCTTGGCTCCATAAATGTTTGTTGAATAAATATATGGCGTCTTCAAGGTCCACTTAGCAGAACTTTGGGTAGAATGTCCAGGACAGATCTCTGATAAGGTAAAATCATTTGGATTTGTTGTAAACTTCTGGGTGTCCTTGTCTGGATCCCCAGTATTTAGCTCCCTGTTTGTCTTTGTGTTGTTTTATTTTGTTTTCAAAATTTTCCCATTCCACTCTGATGCTTGATCTCATTCTTACAGGGCAGTGATGTATCCAGGTACCTGGCTCTACATCTGACCCTGGGTCATCACCAACTCTATTGGTTTCAGTTTGGCTGTTGACACTCCTGTTAATGTTGCCTCAAGGTCTGGGTTGGCTATTCTTTGATGATGGTGCAACAGGGAACTCCATTGTTGTGGGACTTGTTTGGATCTATGTCCCCACCCAAATATAATGTAATCCCCAATGTTGAGGAGGGGTGTGGTGGGAGATGACTGGATCACGAGAGCGGTTTCTCATGGTTTAACACCAGGCCCTTTGGTGCTATCATTGTGATATTGAGCTCTCTGCACTCTGGTCATTAAAAAGCTTCTGGCACCTCCCCCTGACCTTGCTCCTACTCTGGCCATGTGATGTGTGTGTTCCCTCTTTCCCTTCCACCATGATTGTACATTTCCTGAGGCCTCCCCAGAGCAGAAGCCTCACACTTCCTGTACAGCATGCAGAACCCTGAGCCAATTAAACCTTTTTTTATAAATTACCAAGTCTTAGATATTTCTTTATAGCAGTGAAAGAACTGATTAATAGAGGACCCAATAATTTAACAAAACAACAACACCACAAAATCTTCCAGAAAATAAATGTAATTGGGAAGCTGAACAAGAAACAAGTTTAGAGCCATAAAACTATTAATGACATAAATAAGTGCTACTTACGCAGGTGGACTATCGCCACAATACTTTCCAATTCTTTTAGCATCGTTGACTTCCCCACCATTAAACACAGCCACATAATCATATCGGCAGTAGTTATCTCGCTCCACATCAAACTTCTCAAATTTTAATTCTATAAGCTTTAGAGAAAGCAAAATAGAAGTGTCAAATATTAATAGCATTGTTGAATAGCCTCAAATAAAATTCTTCCTCTCCCCAGATTTGGAGGATACTACAATTTTCCTTTGTAAAACAAAGTATTCATTATGTTTAAATGCTTTTTGTTGCATATTTCTTAGTTAAAAATACTGCGGTATTCTTTTGCTTTCAATTTTAATATTTTCAAAAGATTATCTCAAACTCAGATCAACTCCAGTTAGTATATTAAACAAGAATTCTGTTCACTTACAGCTACACAAGTTTGGGAACATTATATAACACTAGCAATCTACTTTAAGACTGTAATTGGTTTTGGAGCTCTATCATACAGCATGGTAACTATAGTTAATAATAATGTATAATGTACTTCAAAACTGCTGAGAGTAAATCTTTATTTTTTTTAAGATGGAATTTCAATCTTGTTGCCCAAGCTGGAGTGTAGTGGTGCAATTTCAGCTCACTGCAACCTCTGCCTCCCAGGTTCAAGCAATTCCCCTGTCTTAGCCTCCCAAGTAGCTGGGAGTATAGGCATCTGTCACCACATCCAGTTAATTTTTGTATTTTTAGTAGAGACAGGGTTTCACCATGTTGGCCAGGTCTTGAACTCCTGACCTCAAATAATCTGCCCACCTCAGCCACCCAAAGTGCTGGGATTTCAGGCACTCGCTACCGTACCCAGCCAAGAGTTAATCTTAAATGTGATCACCACCCTCCACACAAAAACGAAAGAATAACTATGTGAGGTGATGAATATATGGTAATTACTTTGATTGTAGTAATCAGTTCACAGTGTATACATATATCAAAATATGTTGCACACTGTAAATATATATGATTTTCATTTCTCAACTATACCTCAATAAAGCTACAGAAAAAAGAAAAAGAGAAAACACGATTGTAACCGGATAATTGGATGTGTGTTGCAGTGGGAAAGGGGGTATATACCATAAGATAAGCTAAAAGAAATAAAAAGTATTATCTAAGATGCTCCTTATATTACTGTATGTCAGGGAGTAGTGTGTGTGCATATATGTGTAGGAGGGCGAGATGAGTGGATAGAGTTGTTCCCCTTATGAGGGAAGGAGACTGACATTTCTATCATATGTAAAGGAGACAAATTTTGGGGACCAGCTATTCAGGAAAGTAGAATTGATGGCAGTGTTTTCTTGAAGTATGTTTGAAATGTTTGATACCATGCACGGCCTAATCAAGGTGTGGTTATTTTTGAAGAGGTTGCGCAGAAGCATTGACATACGAAGTCAGTGTTAGGTTTTAAGTATTTCTCAATTTTATGCACTAGTACCAATAATAGTGTCCTAAATTATTCAAGTGAATAGGACATTTTGATTAAATAGGCAATCAATCATTCCCCATACAAGCAGATTTTTTTAAAGAACATTTCCAACATGTGAATGAAAGGAAATCTCATTGGATTTATTATTACCTATGACATCTGGTACCCAATCTCGCTGGGCAGCAAGTGGGCAAGAACCCTTCTTGCTACTTCAGGAAAGATAAAGGGCATTAATTCCTATTAGCTAAAGAAGACTCTCACACAGTAATCCAGATGAAGAGGATAACAGCAACAGTATCACAGATGAACACAAAGGCAATTTTGGCTTTGAATATAACTGCCATACATCTTCATACTGAACTACCTTTTAAAAAGTCAGTGCCAGTGATAGGTGAATAATGTTTAATCACACTTAACATGGTTTTAAATTGTATTAAAATATTTCCTCTTTGGGTCCAGTGACTTCTCACCACTTATTAACAAAATGCTTTCCAGGTAATTTAAAAAATTGGCAAACTTTTCTACTTAAAAATTAGTCATAAAAACTTTTAAAGAGAAGATTAAAAATAAGTAAACAAATAAGATAAAGGAAAAAGCTGTGTTAACAAGTAATTTTATTTTTCGAGACAAAGTCTCACTCTGTCATCCCAGCTGGAGTACAGTGGTGCCATCTCGGCTCACTGCAACCTCCGCCTCCCAGGTCCAAGCACTTCTTGGCCTCAGCCTCCTGAGTAGCTGGGATTACAGGTAATTTTTGTATTTTCAGTAGAGACAAGGTCTCACCAAGTTGGCCAGTCTGGTCTTGAACTCCTGACCTTGTGATCCATCCATCTCAGCCTCCCAAAGTTCTGGGATTACAGGCATGAGCCACTGAGCCCAGCCAGTAACTTTTTAATAGAAGAAAATTCCAATGAAATTTGTTCAACAGAATAATTTCTTGCATAGAAACTATTTAGGACTTAATATTATCATTATATTTCTCTCCTCTGAGAAGCTGCCAGTGATTTCAAACACTACAACGATTAAGAACTCAATTGACTGAAGCCAAAAATCACAGTAATGAAATAAAAATCAAACTTAAAATTTAAATAATCAAAGGGAAGAACAATGGAAAAGAGATGCTTAACCGTTATCTGCAAGTATAATTAAGTTGGAATTATTTGGTCAAATATATTTATGAATGTCATGGAAAAAAATGACCAATACAATTTCAACAACTACATAATGGTTTAAATATTTCAGAAACATAATTTTTAAAGTTACTTTAAACTATACAACATTCAACAGACTTATAAAATCTTCCATTACTAAACAAATGGCTATATATTTCTTCTCAAAAACCAAGATTTGGTTTTATGATCAGTGTTTATGTCTGTATATATGTGTATATGTTCAAATCACTAATGTGCATGGTATATTATCTTAAATAATTTTCCATGCAAAAAATTAATATATGACAAATGGTATCCATGCAAGCTATATAAAAGGTCAATTTAGAAAAGGTTTTTTAAAAACAATATCATAATGTTTACCTCACAGTGTTTGGATAAAAGTCTATAGTGTTTGTAATAGTAATAATTTTTATAAAGTTATCTTTAAAGGTCCAAAAAGTCGATTCCATCTGTTCCTATGCTAAATTCTTTCCTGCAATTAATAGGTGAAAGTGGTTCCCACAAAGGGTAAAAAGTTGTATATGTAACCACAAATCAATAAATACTGGAAAAGTCCATCTCCTCTGTTGATTATTTTAGAACAATGAATAAAACTTTTTGTGGAGAACCTGCCCAAATTTTATTTTTAACGACAACCAAAAACACCCTAAAGCAGACCAGCATGTTCCCTGAAGAGATGATGTGGCTTGCTTTTGCCAGCTATGTTGAGGCAAAGCATCCACATTTTTTGATTTAGTGACTAGGATAACTATTATCAGGACATGATGGGTTTGTGATGTGAGCAAATGGTAACCTGAAATGCCCACGGACCTGGGGGTTTTTATCCTCCCACAGTTAGTCACTGCTGCTTATAACATCCACTGCAGGGTTAAACAGTCCTATGTGGAATTTGCTTACCATTTGTATTTTTAAAGGTGTTTTGAAAAGTATCATTATATAGCAGGAAATTAAATCCATGACTTTGCAAGTCAAAAATGCAAAGGCCTTAATCTGGGGTCTTAACATGAAGAAATACCTGTGTCCAGGAGCCTTCCTCTTCTTGTATCCCTTAGCTCTCAAATAGACCCCACAACCGGAGGTTCTTGAGAGTTGGGCCACGCACACTGTCTGGGCAATTCACACATGCATGCTTTCTTCACACTTCCAGGGAATCTCACCTGATTCTTTGGGGCTACAATGTGCCACACACAAGTGACGCCTGCAGGGTAATCCCGGTCTGGCCAGTTGGGGGTTTTAAAAGAGCCGGAAGGTCTTTCAAGGCGTCCACCACAATACTGATCCCCTTTATGAAACAAGGAAAAAAGCCCACAGGTTTATGTAAGTTACAGCAATACAACCATGTAGAGATTAGGAATGTGGAATCTTTGTTGAGAGTTCAGTAAATAAAGGAAACAACAGAAGTGCTTACATTTTCTCTTTAAAATGTGGTTACATACATACACCCCCACACATACACAATGAATGATCTCTGTTACCTGACATATCAACACAAGAGAGGAGAGAGGTGGACTCAGAGCCTCTTTTCTTTTTTTCCTTTTCTTAGACAAGGAAGACAAAACATTTAGATATGTACTCATTCAGAAAGCTTGTAGGCTCAAAAAATCAGATTTTGACTCCTCAAGGCATTGGTATTTAGTAAATGCTCAGGGACAAAATTTATATCAGTTGATATAGACAATTCTCATTACTAAAAAATTTTACATATTATATATATCTTTAAGAAGTTTTAAGAGTATTTTTTGTTTGTAAAAATAATGCATTTATAAATTTTCAGCAATACAGAAAGACATAAGAAGGAAAGTAAAAAATTACCCCCAAATCTCTAGTTTTAGCCACTGAAAAATAACCACAATTAATATGTGACAAATGTCATTTCAGGCATTTGTACTCATAGGTTTCATATGTACCTGTGGGTTGTCAGAAATAATGTAAGAGTTATTTTAATATGAAGTTCTAAATTTAATTTTACTTGAATGTAAATAACAAATAAAAACTGAACTGAAACTAAAAGAATTATACTTTAATGGAATATTTCTTTGACACAGAATATAATCATTCTTAAGTCAAACTTCTAAATTTAAGAAAATGTATTATAAAAATGGAGGTTGGAATAATTTCTAAAATCTCCATTTAATGAAATAGTTCCAGTATATACGAAGTAAGTAGAATGATATAATGACCTCTCACATATCCATCACCCAGTTACAGTAATAGTCATCTTTCTACTATTCTATCTGTACTGCTACCCAATCCCCAGCACCTGCTCCATTGTTTTTATTATTATTATTTTACAGGTTTGGGGAAGGTAAATTCACATACTCTGACATACACAAATCTTAGCTTTACAAATCCAAAAAAATGGATATACCTGTGTAAACCACACTCCTATGATGATATGGAATCCATCTCCCACTAAGTTTGTACATCCCTTCCCATCCTGCCAGTTCTCTACACTACTTTTGTGAAAAGTTTTGCTTTAGATGAGTTTAATTCTAGAGCTCCATATGAATTTGTTTACCCATTCTCCTGCTGATGAGTTGTTTCTAGTCTGGGCTATTGTGAATGAAGCTGTTATTAACAATTTTATACACTTTTTTTATACGTATATCTTCATTTCTCTTATACAAATACCCAGGACTGCAACTGCTGGGCCAAGAGTAGATGTAAATACTTAACTTCATAGAAAACTACTAGAACTTTTCTCCAAGTGGTTGTATCATTTTACACCTCTCTGAGTGTGAACACTTGGTTGCTTTACATCCTTGCTGCCATTTGGTGTTGTCAGTGTTTTTAGCCAACACGGTGGGTAAGTAATAGCATCTCATTGCAATTTTAATTTGCATTTCTCTGATGACTAAAAAGAGATACTGGGTAGTTTCTCTTTTTTATTTTTAAATTTTTTATTGCATTTTAGGTTTTGGGGTACACGTGCAGAATGTGCAAGACAGTTGCATAGGTACACACATGGCAGTGTGTTTTGCTTTTTTTCTCCCCTTCACCCACATTTGGCATTTCTCCCCAGGCTATCCCTCCCCACCTCCCCCTCCCACTGGCCCTCCCCTTTTTCCCCCAATAAACCCCAGTGTTTAATACTCCCCTCCCTGTGTCCATGTGTTCTCATTTTTCATCACCCACCTATGAGTGAGAATATGCGGTGTTTCATTTTCTGTTCTTGTGTCAGTTTGCTGAGAATGATGTTCTCCAGATTCATTCATGTCCCTACAAATGACACAAACTCATCATTTCTGATTGCTGCATAATATTCCATGGTGTATATGTGCCACATTTTCCCAATCCAGTCTATCATCAATGGGCATTTGGGTTGATTCCAGGTCTTTGCTATTGTAAACAGTGCTGCAATGAACATTCGTGTGCATGTGTCCTTGTAGTAGAACAATTTATAGTCCTTTGGATATATACCCAGTAATGGGATTGCTGGGTCAAATGGAATTTCTATTTCTAAGGCCTTGAGGAATTGCCACACTGTCTTCCACAATGGTTGAACTAATTTACACTCCCACCAACAGTGTAAAAGTGTTCCTTTTTCTCCACATCCTCTCCAGCATCTGTTGTCTCCAGATTTTTAATGATCGCCATTCTAACTGGCGTGAGATGGTATCTCAATGTGGTTTTGATTTGCATCTCTCTGATGACCAGTGACGATGAGCATTTTTTCATATGATTGTTGGCCTCATATATGTCTTTTTTCGTAAAGTGTCTGTTCATATCCTTTGCCCAATTTTGAATGGGCTTGTTTGTTTTTTTCCTGTAAATCTGTTTGAGTTCTTTGTAAATTCTGGTTATCAGCCCTTTGTCCGATGGGTAAACTGCAAAAATTTTTTCCCATTCTGTTGGTTGCCGATTCACTCTAGTGACTGTTTCTTTTGCCGTGCAGAAGCTGTGGAGTTTGATTAGGTCCCATTTGTCTATTTTGGCTTTTGTTGCCAATGTTTTTGGTGTTTTGTTCATGAAGTCCTTGCCTACTCCTATGTCCTGGATGGTTTTGCCTAGATTTTCTTCTAGGGTTTTTATGGTGCCAGGTCTTATGTTTAAGTCTTTAATCCATCTGGAGTTAATTTTAGTGTAAGGTGTCAGGAAGGGGTCCAGTTTCTGCTTTCTGCACATGGCTAGCCAGTTTTCCCAACACCATTTGTTAAACAGGAAACCCTTTCCCCATTGCTTGTTTTTGTCAGGTTTATCAAAGATTGTATGGTTGTAGATATGTTGTGTTGCCTCCGATGCCTCTGTTTTGTTCCATTGCTCTATATCTCTGTTTTGGTACCAGTAACATGCTGTTTTGATTACTGTAGCCTTGTAGTATAGTTTCAAATCCGGTAGTGTGATGCCCCCCTGCTGTGTTCTTTTTGCTTAGAATTGACTTGGTTATGCGGGCTCTCTTTTGGTTCCATATGAAGTTCATGGTGGTTTTTTCCAGTTCTGTGAAGAAAGTCAATGGTAGCTTGATGGGTATAGCATTGATTCTGTAAATTACTTTGGGCAGTATAGCCATTTTCACGATATTAATTCTTCCTAACCATGAACATGGAATGTTTCTCCATTTGTTTGTGTCCTCTCTGATTTCGTTGAGCAGTGGTTTGTAGTTTTCCTTGAAGATGTCCCTTACATTCCTTGTGAGTTGTATTCCAAGGTATTTTATTCTTTTTGTAGCAATAGTGAATGGCAGTTCATTCTTGATTTGGCTTTCCTTAAGACTGTTATTGGTGTAGAGGAAGGCTTGTGATTTTTGCACATTGATTTTATATCCTGAGACTTTGCTGAAGTTGCTTATCAGTTTCAGGAGTTTTTGGGCTGAGGCGATGGGGTCTTCTAGGTATACTATCATGTCGTCTGCAAATAGCGACAATTTGGCTTCCACCTTTCCTATTTGAATACCCTTTATTTCTTTTTCTTGCCTGATTGCTATGGCTAGAACTTCTAGTACTATATTGAATAGGAGTGGTGAGAGAGGGCATCCTTGTCTAGTGCCAGATTTCAAAGGGAATGCTTCCAGATTTTGCCCATTCAGTATGTTATTGGCTGTTGGTTTGTCATAAATAGCTTTTATTACTTTGAGATATGTTCCATCGATACCGAGTTTGTTGAGGGTTTTTAGCATAAAGTGCTGTTGAATTTTGTCAAATGCCTTCTCGGCATCAATTGAGATAACCGTGTGGTTTTTGTTTTTGGTTCTGTTTATGTGGTGAATTACGTTTATAGACTTGCGTATGTTGAACTAGCCTTGCATCCCTGGGATGAATCCTACTTGATCATGATGAATAAGTTTTTTGATTTGCTGTTGCATTCGGCTTGCCAATATTTTATTGAAGATTTTTGCATCTATGTTCATCATGGATATTGGCCTGAAGTTTTCTTTTCTTGTTGGGTCTCTGCCGGGTTTTGGTATCAGGATGATATTGGTCTCATAAAATGATTTGGGAAGGATTCCTTCTTTTTGGATTATTTGGAATAGTTTTAGAAGGAATGGTACCAGCTCCTCTTTGTGTGTCTGGTAGAATTCGGCTGTGAACCTGTCTGGACCTGGGCTTTTTTTGTGTGGTAGGCTCTTAATTGCTGCCTCGACTTCTGCCCTTGTTTTTGGTCTATTCATAGTTTCAGCTTCCTCCTGGTTTAGGCTTGAGAGAACACAGGAGTCCAGGAATTTATCCATTTCTTCGAGGTTTACTAGTTTATGTGCATAGAGTTGTTTGTAATATTCTCTGATGATGGTTTGAATTTCTGTGGAATCTGTGGTGATTTCCCCTTTATCATTTTTTATTGCATCTATTTGGTTGTTCTTTTATTTTTAATCAATCTTGCTAGTGGTCTATTTTGTTGATCTTTTCAAAAAGCCAGCTCTTGGATTTATTGATTTTTTGAAGGGTTTTTCGTGTCTCTATCTCCTTCAGTTCAGCTCTGATCTTAGTTATTTCTTGTCTTCTGCTGGGTTTTGAGTTTTTTTGATCTTGCTCCTCTAGCTCTTTCAATTTTGATGATAGGGTGTCAATTTTGGATCTCTCCATTCTTCTCATATGGGCACTTATTGCTATATACTTTCCTCTAGAGACTGCTTTAAATGTGTCCCAGAGATTCTGGCATGTTGCGTCTTCATTCTCATTGGTTTCAAAGAACTTCTTTATTTCTGCCTTCATTTCATTGTTTATCCAGTCAACATTCAAGAGCCAGTTGTTCAGTTTCCATGAAGCTGTGCGGTTCTGGGTTGGTTTCTGAATTCTGAGTTCTAACTTGATTGCACTATGGTCTGAGAGGCTGTTTGTTATGATT